CCTGTTGTTTGTTCTCTAAGTGTGTTTGCTCCCCGCTTTGTACACGACAGAAAAACGGCTCAAGCTGGAATATGAAAAGGTCACGTCTCCTTTATAGAGCGCCGCACCTCACAAAACGTCTGGGCCGAGCAGCCAATGTAGACGCAGAGTTTGGGAGCGTGTGTGATGCCTAATAGGTTCAGATTTGACAGTGATCCCATTAAGAGCTATAACTGAATTACACACAGAGAACAAATCATGTTAGAAGAGGAATAATCGGCCCAGATTTTGGTGTACAGATGCTTTGTTAACCTCTTCCAGTAAGAGTAGATGAAGTTGTGACTCACAAACCAGTACAGTGTAGAAACGGGTCAAGTTTGGTCTCATTGGATACATAAAAAAAAAAAGGTCAGTTGACTTTCCCGTGTATTTGTATCACATCTTTTTATTGCAGACTTTTTTTTTTCATCATTACGTAGTCAATACCTAAAGAAGCTGCGGATGCCTCATTTTTAATCCGGCGTTTTCGTTTTGTTTTGTCTGAGTCGGGCTGTCAAAAATGTGTGCAGCGCCTGCCAAGAGGATAGTTTGGCGCGCGTTAAGCAGCGGCTGAATACACAAGAAAAACAACCCCTCAAAATCTCCTCCTAAGCACTTTTCCTTGAGCCCATCGGAAAACATGTTAAGGTTAAAGAAATGTGGTCGGAGAAATTTGTAAGAACCCTCGGAACAAACCTGACCACATTTGTCTAAACGTCAAAGTGCAAATTAAAAAAAAAAATTTTTTAAAACTCTTTCCACATGATTTACGGGAGGCTTTATTATATAAATCATGTTAAGATAATATCCTGTAAGATAATACTTCTTTAGAATGGTTGGTAATTCATAAAAGAATGCAAAAGCACCACCTAGTTCCCTTACCTTCACATATCTAGTTACCCGAATCACCATTTGTCCACCTGGATTTAACCAATCTACTGTCGTGTAGGAAGGATTAATATCTTCTTTTTCTTTTGTAAAGGATGCACCAGCGTTTCACAGAAAATAAAGTTGACCAGCTTGATGGAGCCCGCCGAGAGGAAACCAATTGGCCACGATCCAAGCAGACTGTTTGTTCATGTGGCCAATAATGGCTCACATTTACATCCCCAGAATCCGCTAACCGTCTGGAGACGAGCTACACGTGCATCCTTTTAGCAGAACAAGTGCTAAGAAACCCCAATCATCAAAGAGTTTGTCCTAAGTTTGATTTAATTTTAAAGTAACAAAAAAAGTAAATATGCACAATAGCATGATCCTGAAGTTTCATTCATTAACACTTTATATAACCAATGACATTAATACCCATTGTCATATTAAAGGTTGTTGCTAAGGGTTGCTGATTTGTACAGGATCCACTTCCTGTACCTGCGGAAGCCTCTGACTGAACACACTTTGATGTTTGTTGTTTGATTCATTTTTCAGAATGTCTGCAATGTTCGCCAGGCTGAGGAGCAAGATTTTCCTCATCACGCTGTCATATTATGTCTTCTGTTTTAGGGCTGATATACATCATTTTATCCTCGTTCACATAGGGAAAGAATTAATCCTCAAAGTGGTCCAAATTCTCTCTTTCTTTGTTTTGATTGGAGGATATTTTGTCGAGGAAAGAAACAACTAAAGTTCTGCACCAGCACGTCGCATCCAGATTCTTTTATGTGCTTCTTATTTGTTTTAAAATGTATGCAAATGAATCCCAAACAAGTGATATTAATTGTTATTGGTATTTTGGAACTGTCTGGACACGGCGGGCCTGAGGCATTCGGGTCTTTTCAGTGTCAAAGATGACACTGCTGGGATCTAAAACACTATGAAAAGGGCCCCGTTTCATCAGCCCTGGACTCAAAATGGGATGATACAAATCTGAATCTCTGAATTTCCCTCTGGTGGCTTTATTCATAATAAACTGTCGCCGGTCTTCCTGTGAAGGCGTTCTGCAGACCTCGGCGTGGTGCTTGTGGGAGCCCGGTGCAGATTTAGGGACTCCCCTTTCCAGCCAAGCAGCTTTTCTGACAGCGCTGACTCACCGAGGCTGAGGCAGGAAGCGTCCCACCGGGGCTCACAGCTGACAGGCCTCAGGCTCCCCACCGTCAGTCAGCGCTTTCGACTCACCTCCTGGATTTTCCATCACCGATACGGCAGAGAAAAGGAAACTCCTTCAGAGTGAGGCCGGTTCCTCTGACTCTCCTCTCCACTCACTCCTGTACTAATCAGTGTGCATTCAAACTGTACTCCGTCAACCCTTTAACCCTGTTTCATATCAGCTATGCAGATTTCTGAGACCTGTTCCAAATTCATACAATTAAAACTTTATTTAAGAAAACAGCAATATAGAATATTTGTTCTTTTCGTTATTGCATATTGGTTTATATTAAAAGTGTTGAAAATATTGAGTTATGTAAATTGTTTATGTAAAAAATTGTTTTTTTTTGTTGCCTCAGGCTTTGTGGGGTTAATTTTTTAAGGGGCTTAACGTCAAATACCCTTTCACTTGGAATCCACAGCAACAGCTGGAGAGAAATGTTCTGCTTCAGCATTTATGACTGTTTTATTTTCCACAGAATCCTCCTGTTCAAAGCGCATTGCATCATTCGCAGGAATCCCCTCCACTGGGGACATCTTGAACGCGTGTTGGCAATTAAGCGAGGA